GTTTGCAACGTGCCCGTGGATGAAGTTGATGTAGAAGTTGTCGAAGATTTTGGTTTCGGTGTGGAACAGCACGGACACGCTTCCTTGTCACTAGTATTACTCACCATACAAGTTGGGCATTCCCACGGAACGGTGGTTTTGGGTTTATTATCGGGTTTAGATGTTTGACAGCAAACACAAGTCGTTTTCTCTCCGTCATTGAAAACCATGCATGTTGGGCACTCCCACTTTTTCGAGGCTTCTTCAGAAATTACACTCTGACTGTTGGTCGTATTCGACTTCCGCGCAGGTTGTTCGGAATGAGATTCTGGAGAAGCGCCACAAGCTATACATTTGGGTTGCGTCGCTTCGTTGAAAATCATACAGACAGGACATTCCCATCGACTGGACGAAGAGGTTGATGAAAGCACACCCATGGGCTGGGAAGTGCTAATTGTGGCTGGTTCCTTCGTCGTACTGATAGGAGTAGTCCCTTGGATACCGGTGCAACTGGCTGTTGGAGCGCTGTTGGCATTAACAGGGAGACTCGCATTTTGCTTTATGCGTGGCATAGTACACGTTGAACAAACATTTTTACTTTGGGGATTTTCCTGCATACATGTTTCACACCGCCAGCTTTTTGACGAATCAAACGTGGGTAGAATAGGCTTGGGTTCAGGAGCTGCAAAAATGGAAATGGAATACAAAGCATGGAATGTGAAATTACGTCAGAATCGAGGATTTTAAAAAAAGCTGTAAATTACACAACGTATTAGCTCATCACGGAATCTTTTTGGACTTGATGATTAGTCAAAGCTACTCCATCTTCGTTCACGTTTACATTAAGGTGATGTGAATTGATATATGCCTATAGGGTGCTACTTTAAGAGATAGACTCCTAACCATAAACGACGCAAATCACTGATTGTATTGAAAATCGGTTCTCGTAGCTCGGGGTGAACTGGATTACCTTTTGCCTGTTTCACGAGCTGGACAATTTGCTAACGTTTATCACCAGCCGAGGTAACATCGTCACAAGCACTAAGGATGTCACCTAGGCTGTGATGAAACGCTTGCAAGCAGATTATCAAGCTCGGCGATCAGACGAAATGGAGACACCAAATGCTCGCGTGTTTTATATAAGGGTTCTTTGTCTCGTTTACAAAGACCATGCTTACCCTAGCTGTTTGTTGTTTCACCAAAATACTGCATATTAAATGAGAATTTCCGAGGATTTAATTCAACTACAAAAACAGATGTTATGTATAGAGCAAATGAAACGTAAACTGAAAAGCTAGGAAGCACAGATTAGCTGCTTCGGCCTGGTTGGGTCTCATAAGCGATGCGAATCGATCGACTTAATTGAGGATCAAACCCAGGACTGCTGAGGCGGAATGCAAGCATACTACTCACTTGGTTACCGTTTTACATTTTATATTTACACGACATAGCAAGCTTGTTGCGGACATCGCGTCTTACTCGCCTCAGAACTAGCCTCCGGGGTTATGAAATGGTTGGAAACCTTCCAAACTTGACTGTTTGTTACATGAGTAATCAAGGGTTCGATTCAATTTCAAAAGTTGAATTTGTTGTAAAGATGGGTTGTGCTATATCGTGTGAATGGAAGATGGTCTAATCAGCTGCCGGGTGGGTAGCATGTTTGCGTCCTGCTTGTGAGGTCCTGGGTTCGATCCCCAGTTGGGTCGATAGATTCGCACAGCTGATGAGACCCAACCAGGTCGAAACAGCTGTCTAGTGCTTTGCAGCTTCTAAGTCCACGTTTCATTTGCTCTATACACGACGAATTGTCTTTGAGATATTACTTTTGTTGTTGAAACACGAGTTGGCGCATCAACTTTTCCCTAAACCTGAAGGATTTCTCAAAGTATATGGGCAGTCACTCGAGCACGATTATGAACAGCCATTGCCGTACGATTACTTACCTTAGCAGTATTGTATCAACGTACCCACAAAGCAAACAATAACCAACGCCAAAGCACCCGACATCCGATGCCGTAAAGACTTGTACATCTTTCCTCTCCCCACACACACACATGCACTACAGATAATTGATTAAAATGTTCCGCCTGAGTTGGGAACATTTTCGCTTCCTTATGGATGAAAATGATTTACCTATTTTTTGAACAGTTGCTACACCTATTTCCTTATGTAAAGGAAACGCCACCAAACAAGCATTTAATATGCGTCAAGAACCCTTAGATACCAGAAACTCATCGGAAAAGTAGTACACTAAGGTGTAACAGCATGAGATGTCAACGATCATAAGACAGAACATCCTCGTGCAGAAAAACTTACCCTTAGATGTTGTATGTGAGTCCGAATCAGCAGACGATTTCACGATAAGTGTGAATATTGGAGAGCTGGAAGTGGAAACAACTGGGTTGCTGGGATTCGTATGTGAGGAGACGGGGTAATCGCTGTGCGCATAAAATAGGGCACTGGAGGAACGAGAGGACCGGAGTGGACTACTGAATGAAAATTTCGGAACCGTGTTCGAAGAGGACAACTTGACCAGTTCGGCAGCTACGGACGGTGGTCGCCGTATTGGGGACGAAAAAGTATAAGTGATCGATTTGTCGTTCTTGGAGCTCTTTGGCTGGGACAAGGTAACAGGCACAGAAGCAGACGGTGTTAAAGAAACCGTAGGATTGGGCTTGCGTAGTAGAGGCATGTTCTGAAAGGAAAAACCACTTGCACCGCCAACCGTCAGGGTTGGTGTGGAACACAGCACTGTGCTCAATGGGGCAGTTGACAAATTTGAAGTTGTGGATTGTGAAAGCGCTGTCGACGCGCAAGTTGTGGAAACACATGTGACAGAAGCATTTTCAGATACTGCTGTAAGAACCGGTATTGACCCACATCGCTCTTGCTGCATTGTTTTTAAACGTTTGTACGCTTGCATATAAGGTGGGAATCGATGAGACCTGAATGTTTTCTTGATCTGTGAAAGAAAAACGATAGTGTCATTTAGCAAGCGCTATAGCAACGAGTGGATGTGGAGATATAAAAACGATACGGGAGAATAATCAACCTGTGTAAACAATGTTGAAGTCTGAGTCAAAGCAGAATAGCCAATGCCTGCTTTGAAGATTGCAACCGATGATCACGAGGAAGTCGTATTTGAGTCCAATAAATATTTGATAAAAACCACATTTGAACTTGGTAAAGTCCATAACACAGTTCCCCTGACCTTATTGTTGATGGAATGTTTTCCTTTTTATAAAGACTGTCGTACCATGATCTGTTTGGCATAGAGTTTGGCCTCAGCCGAGTGAAAATTAATAATGATAATAATTATTACTAGTTAAAAGCTTGAGTAGACTTATGTAGACGATAAATGCGGATCGTGGGTAGTGGGCCATCTTCATCCATGTTTAACGGTGGTGGTCCAGCGGCTTAGTTCGCTGTCACTGGCACGCTTTGGGACCTCGGGTCCGAGTGAACAGTAGGTGCACGAGCTTTGAGGGTTCTAACCCGTCCGTTATTCATCGCACAAAAGGTATAGAATAAAAAGTCACAAGAGTAAGGTGGGGCGACCGAATAAGTGAATGCAGTAGAATGCAGCTTTAGATATTCCTGGTTACACTCTAAGGCAAATCTTGATTTACGAAAATTGTGGTAGGTAGTGTACCGCCGGATGAACTTCATCGGCGAAGTAATGTTCACCGAGGCAAGTAGTACTGAAGAGGTCCAGGGTGTAGCGAAGTAGGGCCAATGGATGAAAACACTAATCGAGGACCTCGATCACATGGGGCTTTCGCTTCCTTTCCTTTTCATATTATTACTAA